ATTAAAGATGCTTACGTTGTGTATCCTGTATACACGTATCTTGGCACGGGGGTACCACAGCGAATGAAATAGACAAAAGCTCTGTCCTTGGGGCTGGTACCGGAAGCAGACATCAACCAAGATAAGAATAAGAGCTGTGGTCAGACAGGCAGGAGATGGGGTTTGGGGAAGATGTGGTTTTCAATCAGGTGGCTGGGGACAGCAGATACTGTTACAAAGGTACTGAGAGACCCAGCTTTTCATCACCAGGGATTATCTCAGGACCATGCCCATTCCATCCACACAGCCACTCACTGCATCAGGGCTTCCGTTTTTGAGGGGGAGGGATGCCTTCCTGGGTGCCTGGGTGGGGGGGTGGGGATGCTCAGAGATGAATGAGACACAGCCCCTGTTGCAGGTAAATGAGCAAGGGGAGAAACCATGTCACCTCTAAAACTATTTTGGAGAGGTCCAAAGGGTCTCTTGTACCAGCCACATAAAATGGATGATGATTGTGATGATTAATAAACGTATGAGATAGACTTTAGGCTCTAAAAGTTATGAACATATAAAAACACATGAGCAAATCCTTCTTGTCCAGATTCCCCAGGATTTGCCCTGAAGAAGCGTACCTCTGTCACTGTGAAGAAACTGTGGCCGTGGGACCTGGGCCCTCCTTGCTCTGTTGTGGTCCAGTTTGGGACCCTGTATCTTTTTTTCTTCAATTGGCTTGCCAAACAGTGCCTCCATCTTAAGTATACAATTCAATCATTTTTAGTAAATTTACACAGTTGTATAACTCTGACAGTCCAATTTTAGAATATTTCCATCCCCCAAAACAATTTCATCATTCCCATTTATAATCTCCCACTGTTCTTACCCCCAGACGCAGGCTGATCTGCTTTTGTGTCTGCAGATTTGGCCATTCTGCATATTTCATATGAACGGAATCATTCTGTATTATGCAGTCTTTCGTGACAGGCTTCTAACACTTAGCACGTTTGTGAGGGTCACCCACATCGTAGCAAGTGTCGGTTATGGCTGAATCATATTCCATCGTACATATTCATTCACCGTGTTCTGTTTATCCACTCACCAGTTGATGGACACTTGGGTTTCCAGCTCGGGGCTTTTACGGGTAACACTGCTGTGAACGTGTGCACACAAGTCTTTGTGTGAACGGATGTTTTCATTCTTCCCGTGTGGAGACCTGGGGGTGGAGTTGCTGTGTAGGGCAGCCAAGTTTAGCCTGGGGAGGAACTGCCCTACTTTTCCAGAATGGCTGCAGTATTTCATATCCCCAGCGGCCGTGTTTGAGGGCTCCCGTTTCTCTACAGCCTCACCAACACTCTTTACCACCTTAGATGTCCTAGGCAGTGTTCCTTTATTCATTTAAGTGATGCTGGAGCCTGGTGGGGATCAGAGAAGGGCAGCAAAGAATTAAAGATGTGGACGCTAGAGCTCCGGAGAACAGATTGTAGCAATAAGAGAGACCAGATTTCCCTCCCGGGGAGATTTCCCCGGGCGTCTCTCAGAAGACCCATTCCAGGGAGTAGGTTACAGTGCACACATGGGAAGCTGGGCGAAAAGCCCTGGGGAAGCCCTGCTGGGCCATCCTGGGCTGCGTCGGTGGGCACAGAGGGAACGGGCATTGCCTCCTTTGGACGGTTTAGTCCTGCCTCTCGGGCTGAGGGCAGCGCCTGGTCCTCAGCAGAGCCACCCGGGCACATGGGGACGACCATCCACCAGCCCCACCACCCACCATTGTTCCCCCACGTCGCCCAATCCCGGGGAGACAGGCTGGAAACCACCCCTTCCTCCAGAGAACACTGGGGGTGAGCAGACACTCCCGCCCAGTCCCCAGCCCCCAGCAGCAGCCACATTCCTTGCCGAGACCTTGAGACCCGGAGGGGCCCCCATGGGCGTCTGGAGTGCCATTTCCTGGTCCTCTGCGTTCAGTCATCTATTTTTCCAAACCCCTGTCCCGGCTTGTTTACTTCTCTGGTCCTTTAAATAGCCACACTTTCAAGAGCGCGTGCCAGCCTTGAATGTCACTCGGGGCCGGACTGCACCGAGCCTCGGGCCTCATCACCATGTTATTTTTCGTGCTGCTTCCGCTCTGCTCGGCACACTCTGTTCTTTGGAGCAGAGCCAGCCCAGGGCCAGTCTTTCCCACTGGAAATGCCACGAGTCCTGGGGGCTGGGTTGAGGAGCTGCCCGGCAGCACCGTGGCCCAGGTCTGCACTCTGGAGGCCAGCTCGTGCCACAGCCTCTGGGGCCAGGTGGCGATGGGGCCGGACATCGATGGCACTGAACCCCCTCCCCTGGGCTGGCTGTGCTCTGGGGGGCCGCGGGATGTCTGCTCTGAAACCAGTCAAGACAGTGCATGCTGCTATTGGTGTCACTGGCTGGGCAGTACAGGCTCGGGGGTGGGGAGGTCTCCCTAGAGCATGTCCAGCCATGAGGCAGGCTGGCCAGGCAGACACATGTTACTCAGTGTTTCCAAATGCGCCCACAGGAAACCAGCCACTTAAGAAGGAAGCTTGGCTTTTCTGGGCTTTAAAGAAAACTGACTTGGAGTTCCCGTAACCAATAGGCTGCTGGTGGGGGACGGGGCTGTATTTTCCAAACACACACAAAAAAGGAGAATCCAGGGGCGAATGGAAACTTTGACCTTGGCGAGCCAGGCTGCAGGGGCGGGGCTTCCCAAGAAGCGTGGTCAAAAGGCAGTGGAGGCCAGGAGCTTGTCACACTGCTGTCCATCTGCGCGCCTGTCCAAACACGCTCCTATCTAGCCACATCGGCCTCTCAGAAGAGCAGGGCCAAGGATGCGAGAGACGCCGTCTGCCCCCGCCGCCATGCAGGGCCTCCTACAGTACTTCCATCCCAGCCGGGCAGGCCGGAGCCGGCTGGCCTTGGCCGAAAAACATTTGTGTGCTCAGGGGACCGCCCTGTGGACCCACATCCGAAACCTCGTGTGCAAGGGCAAGGTGGGCAGACGGGTATGCCACGGTTTCCCGGGTGGGCCACGTCGGGGCAGGGTCCCCTGGATGTGCTGCTCCATCGCTCTGCTTGTCGGCTGAATCGAGAGAGGGGGGCCCAGTGATTACCATTCCGGGGAGGGAAAGTGAAGGGGGTCTCTTGCTGAAGCTGCTTCTGTGTCTCCCTTTAAAGAAAACTCCCAGGGGCAGGGAAGCTGTCTCTTTCCTTAGGAGCAGGAGGAACGGTGTCTGTCCCCTTCCTTCCTAGACAGCCAGGACACAGGAGTTGGGGGTGATAGGCTGGCAGAGCACCCCCCCTTACCTCTTCCCACCACACCTGGTCTGGTTGAGAGCGTGGGGCCCCCGCATCATCCCGCTCCTGGCACCCCTGGAAGAGGCTGTTTCCCCAGCTGGATGCCTGGGACTCACTCTCGCAGGAAAGCACCAGTTGGGAGGTTTCCTTTTCTGAGTGGTTTGTGACTGCCTGGTCCCTGCTCACAGGCCCTGCCCCTCAGGGTGGGGTCCCTGTGGCCCAGGAGTCTAGCCCCTAAGAACCTCCTGGGACAGATGAGGAATGAGAACCTGGGACCCTACAGCCTCAAGAGGGAGATGCTCTGCCACCCTTTGTTTTTCTGTGTTGTTCTGTCTATACATTTCAGATCTTTGGGGATGTTAGCCAGTAGGCCCTTGAAGGGGAGGTGATGTCCCCCCTGCCCCCCCTCCCCTTCCAGGAGTGCCTGTGCTGAGCCTCCATGCCAAGCAGTGTGGGGAGAGAGGCTCAGGTTGCACACACCTGAAAGGTAGTGGCCGCTGGACCTTCTTTCCTCTCCTGCACAAGGCCCACGTGGCTCTCACCTCTTGGGTCTCTTGCAGTGGATAGCTACGGGACGCATCCTGAGCACCCCTCTACACCTGGTGCTGTGCTCAGTACCGTGTGTGTGTGAGTGTGCTTGCACACACACATGCACAAGTTTGTGTGTGCAGAAATTGAGATGTGCAGACCCCCCCCTCTCAAGTGGTTTGTCTAGTTGCAGACATGAACCATCACCTCTGAAGCAAGTGATGAAATCCGCAAGGCCCTGCCTGAGGAGCGCCAGGTTATATGATGTCAGACAGTGGCTCCCTAACCTGGCTTTATATCAGAATCCCTTGGGGAGGTTTCTAGTTAGGTGAATCCAAGATTCCCGCCCCCCCGCCCTGAGCTGCTGGTGCAACTCTGGGGTAGAACCCCGGGAGCTGTTTTTTAAACAAGATCTTCCCAGGTGCTCATTTGTCCAGCCCGACCACTAGTGTGGAATGTGTGCTCCCCAAAACAGGGGAGATGGAGCCCTCATAGATGGGGGCCCTTGGCCTGACCACGAAGGTCTGAGGACTGTCGGGTGAGATTAAGCAGCATGGTCCCGCGGGCCAGCGCTCAGACAGTGCTCAGTGGGGTGGAAGCCAGAGGGGCTGCAGAGGGCCCTCCAGCCCCCATCACTCGCTGTGTGATTTGGAGCTGGGCTCTGGGTCCTTCTGGGCCTGACTCTGAGCCATAGGACTGGCCTGGACTGGAGACCCCTCCTGCATGGGCTCCTACAGCTAAACCACGTAGCACGCTCAGGGGGAAAACTGTCCCAAACTCTTCATTGGCACGCCCTCTGAAAGATGCTACTGAAGTTGGGTTTCCCAAAATACGTAAGCCGACTGCTCAGCCTCCCTGCACTGCACATAGCACCTGCAGTGGTTGGTGAGGGGGAGCAAGATGACCACCAGCATGGACTTCAACTCCCAGCGGGAAGGGACAGAGGGAGGAACGGGGCCCCGAGCCATGAGCCTGGGACCCGTGAAGCACAGATCAGGGAGCAGGAGGGCTCTCAGTTCCCAGGGGTTTTCTAGCAAGTTCTCTTTCGGGACCCCTCTTGGCCTCTAGATAGAAGTGCCAGCAGAGGTCCAGCTCTAATTCTGACTTAGGTGTGGAGAAGTCACAGGCTTGGGCTGCTGCCTGGCAGGGTCTCTGTGCAGACGCCAGGGCACCTGCTGATCATAACTGCTTGCTTTCAGCTGGACCCCCAGGCCCTGCAGGACAGAGACTGGCAGCGGACCGTGATCACCATGAATGGGGTATGTTGGTGCCTACTTTTCCCACAAGATCAGGGTGGCCCCGATTCCTTCCAAAGCAGTCAGAAGGAGGCTAAGCCTGAGCCAGTATCTGAGGTGGGGCATGGCTGGAGGAGGGAGAAGCGCTGCACAGAGTCACTACGGGCAGGAAAGAATCCCATTTGGTGGCTGGAGTGCAGTCCCCAGCCAGGCGCTGGGCGTCCCTCCTTGAACAAGACAGGCAGGACCTTGACCCTGGTGTCTGCCTGCAGAAACGGAGACCCTGATTCGTTTTCAGGGTCCCAGAAGGATTTAGACCTTTAAAAAAGAAACAAACAACCAAAACTATTACACACCAGAAAAGGTCTGGGCATAGGTGACAAAATGTTAACATTTGATAGATAATCAGTGGCTTTTTGTTATGTTATTTTCTGTACTTTTCCTCTTGTTTTGTTAACTATTAAGAAAGAGAAGCAGTGGGAATTAGGGTTGGGGGCAGTGTCCTGCAAGAGCTAATCCTTAAATCACCCTGACCGTTCCTGGTTCTTGCTGAGTTGGGCCAGGGACCTGCCTGCACTGGGGTCTTAGCCCAGTTGCTCGGGGAGGGAAGTGATTTGCCAAGCCCCCCGGGCCTCTAAGAACTCGGACTGAGTCCCAGAAAGTGAGAGGGCCGTGGCCCTGCCTCCCCCTGCAGATTGAAGTGAAACTCTCAGTCAAGTTCACCAGCAGGGAGTTCAGCTTGAAGAGAATGCCTTCCCGAAAACAGACGGGTGTCTTCGGAGTCAAGATTGCCGTGGTCACCAAGTGAGTGGACTCGTGCGTCTCTCATCTCCGGGCACAGTGGGCAACCCCCCTCCCCCAAGTGTTTCTGATGGAAAGAACAGGTGAGGGTCTCCCCTCTCTGTCCGTGGTCCTCTATGCACGAGGCCCCCTCCCAGGCCCCTGGAGCGCTCTGTGTGCTTGGTTGCCTCCTGTGTTTACTGGGAAACTCGCCCCTGTCAGCTTAGGAATGTCCTCGCCCCCTTCCTGTGCAGGCGGGCTGGCGGGCTGGCTCCCACACGACTGGAACTGCGCAAGGTCAGGGTTTTCTTCCCTCACTCAGAATCTGTCCCGATCGGGGTTCCTGTGGAATGATGGCCACCCCAGCCCCTTGGTCAGGTCAGTTGCCAGGAGAAGTCTGTATGTTGGTTTGAGAGCAGTTCGCAGGGACACAGGCCGCTTCCTTCCAGAATCCATTCACTTCCTCCATTTGGAATCTGGCCGGGCTCCTGACCTCGCTGGTTGTCCAGGCAGGGGCCCACATCAGATGTTCCCCAGACACCTAATTGTGTCCAAACACCATGCCCCGCCCCCAGCTGCACCCCAGCTGTGCCCACAACTCTCTGGATGGGTCTGGGCCTGAGCAGAGAGGACTGTGTCAGGGGTTATCCCACATAAGTGCTGCTGATGGGGGTGACTTGGGAGAGCGCTTTGCTGGGCTCCTGAATCCAGTTGCTCAACTAGGCTAGAGCAAACCCTCCAAACAGCATGTCTCCTGTTTTTGAAGTATTCCTACTCCAGGGTCTTGTGTGGAGGTACTGGAATTGTGCATTGTTAAGACATAGCAAATAGTGTTAAGTTACTTATTTATTTATGTATGTATGTATTTGACAGAGAGAGATACAGCAAGAGAGGGAACACAAGCAGGGGGGTTGGGAGAGGGAGAAGCAGGCTTCCCGCCGAGCAGGGAGCCCGATGCGGGGCTCGATCCCAGGACGCTGGGATCGTGCCCTGAGCCGAAGGCAGACGCTTAACGACTGAGCCACTCAGGAGCCCCAAATAAAATCTTTAAAAAGGAAGAAAAGGGCCCTAATAAGATGTAAGCAGTGGTAATCATGAGCTCTCATGGCAGAGGAAAAGGGTGCGGACGGGTCCATGGCAGCCCGACCCCTGGGGCCTTCATCACCCCCACCTCCGGGTGTCTGGATGTGCAGACAGGTGGTGGGTCCAGCCCCACTGTGGCCTGAGCCAGGGCTGCCAGGCACTGAAGGCACTGCCCCTCCCCTGCAGGAGGGAGAGATCCAAGGTGCCCTACATCGTGCGCCAGTGCGTGGAGGAGATCGAACGCCGGGGCATGGAGGAAGTGGGCATCTACCGCGTGTCTGGAGTGGCGACGGACATCCAGGCGCTGAAGGCGGCCTTTGACGTCAGTGAGTGTCGGCCTGGGCAGCGTGGGCTGGGGGTGTGGGCGTGGTGACCATGTGCTTCCCACGGCTCGTGCTGGCTGTATTAGGCTCCGTACCTTTCCTTCACATGTTTTATTTTTTAAATGAAAAGAAGAGGGAGCGGTGGGAGGAGGTTCTGCAGAAGCCCGCTCTCCTGTCTAAACCGTGTGTGCATGGCTCCCGCAGAGTTGGACCAGGGGCTTCTGTGGGGCCACCCCACCTCGCACTGGGGTTTGGCCTGCTTCCCCCAGGGTGGAAGACCAAAGCCCAGGAGCCAGTGTGGTCTGACTCTTCGAAGTTGGTGGAACTGCCTCAGTCCCCAGAGGAGGACACGGAGACCGCAGAGGCTTCTGGGAGTGGAAGGTGGCAGAACCAAGACTTGGTGCCTGCATGCTCTTCCCTCCCTGGCCCGTGACACCGAGGGCCAGTGGCCACGAGGCCAGAGGCACTGGTTTGAAACTCTAGAATGGAACAAATAACCCCAATATCTTAATGTTATCAGAAGATGCCTGCAGCCAGGTGGTCGCTATAGAGCAGAGCCGCCCAGTCCCTGCCCGGGCATGGTGTCTGGCCTCCGCCAGCCTCAGCCCCTCGTGGTGGCTCTCCTGCCAGGCCACCCCTTGCCCGGCAAGGGAGGGGTGGGGAGGACGCCTCCACTGTCAGAACCACTAGCATGCTTGGAAGAAGACGAGCTGCTGAAAGGAGGGACCCCAAAAGCCATCGGCCTGCTGTGGGCTGCGCCGGGCCGAGGCAGGGAGAGCAGAGCCCTATTTGGGACCCGTGAGTTGGCCGTGCTCCCATCTCCGCACTCCTTCCAGATAACAAGGACGTGTCGGTGATGATGAGTGAGATGGATGTGAACGCCATTGCCGGAACGCTGAAGCTGTACTTCCGCGAGCTGCCGGAGCCCCTCTTCACCGACGAGTTCTACCCCAACTTCGCCGAGGGCATCGGTGAGCATGGGAGGTCTCCCCCTCCACCACGGTCCGTGTTTCCGTCCAAACTTTGCCGGTGGCAGGGGGACCGAGAACCTAGCTGGTCCTAGAAGGCCTCTGCCCATCCTCACAGGGTCTCCCATTGTCCCCATCCCTCCAAGTCCCAAGAGGGGGAAGCAGCCGGTACCTCTGTAAACGCACCAGGGTGTGGGGTCCCAGAGGCTCCTTCCTCCTCACTGGAGTGCCCGCCCTGCTCCTCTCACCCCGGGTACACGGGGTGATGAGGGAGCTGCCAGGGCCCCGAAAACTCCCGCCCTTCCCTCTTTATGTGTCCTTCCATGCTCGGCTTCTCATGCCTTGGGCTCTTCCAAGCAGGAGGTGGGAACGGCCAAGCCGACCAGGAGGGCAGCTCTCCCGCCCCTGGTCCCTGGGGTGCCATTCAGCCCTTTGAGATGCAGAAAAGGCACCCATCCTGGGGTCGTCACTGGGGGCCAGTGCTGTGCGGGTCAGGACAGTGATGGGCCTGGACCGTCCAGTGCCCTCTGACATGGACCCCAGGAGGGGCCTCCAGCTTGGCTGTGACCCTGAGAATAGCGCCCCTCCCAATGCCCCGCAGCCCTGTCAGACCCTGTTGCAAAGGAAAGCTGCATGCTCAGCCTGCTGCTGTCGCTCCCAGAGGCCAACCTGCTGACCTTCCTCTTCCTTCTGGACCATCTGAAAAGGTAACCCAAACTCTTCCCCAGGGGCCCAGGGTTCCAGGACCCCCAGGCCACAAGGCAGGTTCTCTTGTGGCCCACTGGCTGCTGTCACACCCCATGGCTCCTGGTGCCCTCTTTCCCCACTGCTTGTTTGTGGTTACTCTTCTACTCTGGGTCCTAGAGACCTTGCCACCCTCCCTGCTCTGTTCCACCGTCTTAAGGGAAGAGCGGAGATGCTTCAGCTACAGCCAGTGGCTGGGTTTTCTCTCCCCAGCAGGTCATGGCCCAGAGCTGGCCCAGCCTCCTGCCAGCCTCAGGTGGTCTTTGTCCTAGGCCCCTGCAACCCAGAAGCGGGGTGCGGTCTGCTTTCGGCACAACCGGGGATGGGGTGTCTTGTGTTGTGGAGCCCGCCCAAGGCAGAAAGGGGTGGCGCCCACTATCATGTTTCCCGAGCGCTGCAGGGTGGTCTGGCCCCTTTGTCTCACCCCCACCCTGAAGGCCATGTCGCAGTAGCACCCTCTGCTTTGGCCCTCTGCAGGGTGGCAGAAAAGGAGACGGTGAACAAGATGTCCCTGCACAACCTTGCCACAGTCTTCGGCCCCACGCTGCTCCGGCCATCGGAGAAGGAGAGCAAGCTCCCTGCCAACCCCAGCCAGCCCATCTCCATGACCGACAGCTGGTCCCTGGAAGTCATGTCCCAGGTATGAGGAGACAGGCTCCAGCTCACGCCGCCTGACCTCACAGAGGTGGCCTCTGCCTGGCCCACGTGGGGTCCTGCGGTCGTTCCCACCCGAGTTGTGCAGGGGAGGGGGCAAGGTGCAGAGAAAGGGACTTGCCTGAGGCCATGTGGCTGGGAGGGGATGGGAGGACCCAGGCCACGGCTCTTCCTGGGGCTTCTCAGGGCTGGCCTGGTGTTCCTTCAGGGACGCTCAGATCTCTTGCCAGGAGGGGCTCATTGTCACCAGCATACTCTGCAGCTGTGAGCACCCCTCTGAGCCACTTTCCTCTTTCCTCCTCCCTACTGTGCCCTGGCAGGTCCAGGTGCTGCTGTACTTCCTGCAGCTGGAGGCCATCCCTGCCCCAGACAGCAAGAGACAGAGCATCCTATTCTCCACTGAAGTCTAAAGGCCCAGTTCCATCTCCGAGAGGCCGGCAGAACGGCCTGGAAACCTCCTGGCAAAACGGGCTGCCCACAGAGCGGGAACCGAATCTTCTTGAGGAGTAATTGGGCCGCCTCGCCCCCAAGGGCTGGACCACCTGCCTAGAGACAGCTACCCAAGGCAAAAGGCTAAGTGGCCTGGGCAGTTCTGGGCCTGTGGGCCCTTGGGTCTGTGAGCTCCCGCCGGGCCTCAGACTGCGGTTTTCCATGCTGCCACCAGAGGGCGCCCCAAGCCAGCATGTCTCGGCGCACAGGCCTGGCCGTGGGACCAGGCGAAGGGAGTGGTTTCTGCGAACTTATCAGAGTTTTAAAAGATTTCTACTGGATCACCCGTCAGGATGCACCCTCTCCGGGGAGAAGGGAACATGACCAGATTCCCTCACTATCGTGTCTTGAATAAACACCGATGCTGCTTCATACCGTGCGGGCCACAGCCCTGTCCCTGTGTGGGTGGGGGCTTTTCAGTTTCCCTGACTTAGAAATTCGACTCTGTATAACAGGGTTTGGAAAAGCTAAGTCAACACTGTGTAGCGTTTGACCTCTTTCACCTCCTTCCTTCTCTTTCTTTCTAGAAGGAACTCTGTCCAGAAATGGGTCTTCCTGTCCTCTTGCTTTGGTTTTGCTGTTCATGTGCCCCTCGGAAAGCAGCGCCCCATGGAGCCATGTAACGTCTGTCTGTCTGTCTGTCTGTCCAGGACCGACACCAGGGGGAGGGAGGCCCAGGCTGTGCACTTTATGGCTTCCTCTCCAGGGATAGCGACCCTGTCAGCTGCCTGCTGGGCACAGGCTCTCCTCTTCGGCTTAAAAAGGCCTCAGTCTCTCCGGCTTTCCCCAGCCTGCCTCCCCCTCCGCCCACACTCTCCCTTCCCCCGATCGTCCCCCCACACAGATCACTTCATTCTCTCGCTCTCTGCTGAACAAACTCAGTAAACTTTTGTAAAAGTTTCCTCTTGGCAGCGACAGCTTGCTGACAGCTTGTTTTAAACTTTGATCCGAATAGCCTTTTGATACTTGAATATTTTTAAGTTTTCTACATAGTTTCTAATTCTTTTCCTAACAGATTCAGATACCTAATACAATATTAGAATGTACTCCACGGACAGTCCGTGTCCCAGCAGCATTTTGTCTTCCTCCACACGCCGTCTCTGTCAGGAGCCAGTTCTAAAGTCTCCTAAGCATCGGGAATGGAGGAGGGTTAGGAGCAGGGGGGAGCTGTTCTACAGGCCCGGCTCAGGGTGTGGGGCTCCTGTCCTGGAGCAGGCAGAAGGACAGACACACACCCCCCCCCCAACACTGCCCACCCTTCCTGCTCTCCAAATACCGGTAGAGAAGCCGGGACATTCCTGGTAACCCTCCTGACCACCCAGCTTAAAGAGAACAAGGGAGGCCACTAAGTATTTTGAAGAAACAAATCTATGAACAATTGCATTTTTTTTTTTTTAAGAGAGGGTTTAGGTCAGAGAAAAGAAACCACGAGAAGCCAAGTTTCCATGCTGGTCTTGCAAGAAGAGAGGATGTAGTGAACCAGAGGAGGGAGGTGATGGTGTGACTCAGGAAAAGGTGTTTGCTTGTCACGTGATTACACCAGTACCTGGTGGCAACATCCCATGATCCTTCCCATGTCCTGGGTGGCAGGGGTGAGGGTGAGAGGGCTTGCTGACAAAGCAGCTCCTGCCTAAACTTGCAGCACATGGCGGTGGGGCGGGGGGGGGATGAAATCTGCCCCCCAACCTCCCCTCCGCTTGTGGACCTGCTGAAGCAGGGGGGCGGGGGGATGGCAGAAAACAGTCTCTTGAAGGTTTTATGTCCACATACTATATTTCTTTGTACTTTTTTCTTTCAAGGAGAGCAGACCTACCATTTTAAAGTAGTCCTGCTTTCCTGGGGGCGGGGGGGTAGGGCAGGGAGCAGGGTCCTGTGCCCTCTGCACATTTCTGGATTCACTGGGTTTCTCAGGCCTGCTGCTCCAGGCCGCCTCTGGCCTGACTCCCCATCCCCATCCATCTTAGCAACCCTCCAGCCCCGCAAGGGGAACACACTTGGCTTAGAAAATCTAAACCCAGCCCTCGTTTCTGTTCCCCTGGTGTCATGATTTGCATCTGTCGCATTGAAACTGGAAAGCAATATATCAGTGTCTGTGCCAATTTTTGTTCCCTCCCCCGTCTCCTCCCCCTTTTTACTTTTTATTTATATAGAATGTGTGCTGTTTAATGACGGAATGACCACTCTCTCTCGTGTAGCTGTAAAAGCCCTCTTTCGCCGGGCCACGGGGGTGGCGGTCGCTTTGGGTCCCCGGCTGCCTCTGTGGTCCCATCTCACACACGGGCCTGTGGGCTGGCAAAGCCGGCATAGGGCGCGTCAAGGCCTAGAGCCCAGACGTGACCTGCCACGAGGCTCGGCTGCTGGACTCTGCCATGAGGAGTGATGCCTTCCTGCCCCTGCCCCCAAGTCTGGAGCCGTGAGCTTGGCTGGTCTCAGCAGCTGCAATTCCTGCTTTGGGCTCAGCCCTCCATATACCACGGTGGCGAGAAGGACACTCACTTTCATTAAAGTTACCTGAGACTACTTGTGTCAGTGGTGATTGCTCCATTCAGAGGAAAAACCATGATCGATCGGCGCCTCTGGGCGGGGCTGGGGTGGGTGGCAGAGCTGGAAGAAGCAGCGGGCGACAAAGAGGGCCCGGCTGCCGCCTAGGAAGGCAGTGCAGCCCGGCGCGGAGAAGCCAGGCCCCGTGGGGCCTACACACCGCGGATGTGTTCGGACACACGGCAGCCACCGTCCTGCAGAGCGGGATCCCGGAGCCCTGGGGTTTAGGGCAGTGGGGGTACTGGCCGTGTCAAGCCCAGGGCCAGGGAGGCCTCCCGCCTCACAGCCGGGCCCTGCACCAGCCTGTCGGTCTCCATGGTTTCTGCTGGCGCCGAGGTTCGGTGGTGCACGGGTCACTCTTAGCTGCTGCCAGCCTTGCCCTCAGAAAAAGCCTGTCCAGCCTACAGGGAAGTTGTGCCCGGGGGTGGAGACAGGCGTGGGGCATGCGTGCAGCTCGGGAGGAGCTGGGGCTACGGCTCACCTGGTCGACTGCAAATGGCTGGAGCGGGCGGGGGGCGAGGAGGGTCTTCTTGTGGCTCCCTGCTGGGCATCCAGGGTTGGGGGCATCTGCCTGGACTGGTTCTCCCTCTGGCTGGCGTCCAACGCTGCTGCCTGTGGAGTGTCACTGCGGCCAGTTCACTGTCCTGAGGAGACACGGGGGCCCCGAGCCCGGTGCAGCCCTTCACAGGATGCCCTAGGGATGAGCCTCCACCCTCACAATCTCTAAAGGCCTCAGAGCCCTTCCCCACGGTACCCCCCAGCATCTCCTCCCACAGCACCCCTCCCACGGGTGTAAGGGTTGACCTTGGCTCTTGCCTGCGTTGGAAAAGCTTCACATACCCATGCCATCTGTCCACTCTGACATCCGCCAATGAGGAACAGGTGCCACTGGCACTTCTCCAGAGTATTTGACCCCTAAAAGGCTACAGTTAGCTCTCTCTATCCCTACAGTCCTGGTCCTATTTAAAAGCCATAAAAAATATAATAATAATAATGAAAAAAATGTTAAGGCCCTACTGCATCTCTCTATTAAGATTAGATTTTTAGGGCAAAAGTTGACTACACCCAAATTCCTAAGAGCAGGTGCTATGTCCAGCCGAGCCTAGGCCAGTGATCCCAAATCTGAGATTTTCTACCTCAAAGGGCCCTCAGAGGCCTGTTAGTCCAATCCCTTTACTTGACAGATGGGGAAACTGAGGCACACAAAGCCGCACCCCCCCCACCCCCGCCCCCGACCCTGGTGTCCCAGAGCTGGTTGATGCGCAGAGGCTAGGATGTCTGGGTTCTGCTGCCCACCCCCCCAAGCTCGCTCCCTTTCTGCAGGACTGGACAGGGCTAGACCTTGACCACCAGCTTTGGCCTAGACGTAGCAGTGCTCACGTGGGCACGTGGGCTGAGGCCTCCAGGTGTCCCACACGCACACACCCTGGGCAAATAAAAGGAGGGCAAAATTTTGTATAGAAATCTCAGAAAAACTTGTATAGTGGCCCCCCAAAAGAATGCCTCAATTGCCTTAAAAGGAAGCCTTTCTGTGGGCTAATGATGGGCCGTCACAAATAGGTCTGGAAAGATAAACAGAAAAGATGAGGGGGTGACAAAGAGACCCAGCTCTTGAAGAGGCCTCCTGGAGCAGCTGCTGTGGGTCCTGCCGAGGGCCCTGCCTGGAGGAGGAGGGCCTGCCAGGCCTGGGGGAGGGGGCGTTGGAACTCAGCCAGAGGCGAGCCGTGGGTGGGGCAGGGGCAGGCAGAGCCCTGTGTGTCTCTCACGCCAATACTTGCAGCCCAGAAAAGCCAGCCAGGACCGCGACAAACAGGCACCCATGTACATGGTTTCCGGGAAGACAGGGTCCGACTGCACCTCTCAGCCGGGTCCAGATTGGGAAGGAAATCAGCTGCTTTGGGGGGACTGAGGCTGCTCATCTGTGCACGCCCAAACAAGATGCATTGAGCATCCTGGGCCAGGCAGCCTACTGGACATCACGCGGCCATGCGGCCTGAGAAAGGCCTTCTCGGGGCCTCTTGGACCAGTTCAGCTAGAACGGTGAGGGCTCAGTCCACGCATCGGCTCCTTTTCCATTCCCCTCCTGTGGAGGGAACTGGTCAGCACCGGACCAGAAACTCTTCCTTAGGGTTTTCAGTCACTGCGTTGAAACCCGAGCCTGGCAGCTGGGGTTGTGTCAGTTCAAATGGGATTCTGGACAAAGAGGGGGCCTTGGGAACCAGGCCTAAGTAGCTGCCGACTGAGTAGCCACAGAAGCAGAGGTGCCAGGATGGTGGCCACCCCAGACCCAGGAACTCCCGGGGGGTGAAGGGCTTGAGTGACCACGGACACGGGGACCTCCCAGACCTGTGGCATGGCCCCCCGGGGCCAGCAGGGGAAATCCAGACCCACCCAGAGGGAAGCAGGTGCTGCAGATGCTCATGTAAGTATAGCCACAATTTAAATTACATGATGGGCCGGTGTTGACAGACATCCCCCCCGCTTCAGGATTTGCTGTCTCAGCTCTGATCTGTGGCTGCCCCATGCCCCAGTGAGCCCCAGCTCCTTCCCAGCTTCAGGGGGAAATGGACCAGAAGGAGAGAAAAAGAGGGGAATGGCTGCTGTTTCTTCCATTTTCCTGAAGACAGTATTGACAAAGTTGGGGAGTGGCGATCAGTAGTTATTTGGAACAAGCTAAGGTATCTGTGACCCTTGTTTGTGTTCTCCATTGGGTAAACACTCCTGGGCTGCACTTCCCAACTGGGGCCCTTTCACCTGGAGACGGCCAGGAAACAAGGAGCGATGATTTGGGGAGCCCTAACCACTCCGGCAGACTGGTCTCGGGCCTCTGA